AGAGAGAGAGAGAGAGAGAGAGAGAGAGAGGGAGAGAGAGAGAGAGAGAGAGAGAGAGAGAGAGAGAGAGAGAGAGAGAGAGAGAGGGCTGCCTGGAAGCCACCATTCTGCACTCACTCTCGAGTCTCAACCCAGCATTACCGGTTTCTCAGTATAACAAGCTCACTGTACTTTCACTACAGCCCAGCAAATCAGAGGTCCATTTGTGTTAAGAGTTATCACTTGGTCATGCATTCATCAGCACTAATCGACTTTGCGTCTTCATTGATTGAGATGAGCACTACTTCTGCCTTGGCCTCTCTTAGCAGATGTTTCTGTTTGAACATTATGGTACAACTGAAGCAGCTCTTCCCTCTTGTGATTCTCAACAAGGTTTTTTAAACTTTTTTTCTTTTCTGAGATTCAGACTTCACGCTCACGACCCATCACTCAACCAATCCCTCCACGATTGACCAAACACATTCAAAGTTCAAACACTGAGTTTGCATAGAAGGCCACAGAGGCCGGCGGAGGCTCGAAGGCAAAAGAATAGGCCATGGGGAGGAGTTGAGGATGGAATAATGAAGTGACAGACCTATCTTGTCGATGTAGTTCAAGAGCATGTCCACATTGCATGGCTTTTCATAAACAGGAGACCACAGGAAAGCAGCAGAAGCGACACTACCATCTGCACCCAAACAGAACGCCCAGTCATTATCGCTGCATCTGGACTGAAAGGTGGGCCAAATGCAGCTATAATGACCGTGCGTTCTATTCGGGTGAAGACGGTAGTTGGGCTCTGTCAACATAACCCACCTTGGCGACATTTGTCAGAGGCCCCAGCGCAATCACTGTGATCTGCCCTGGGTTCTCCCTGGCCATCTTAACCATGAACTCAGCTGCCCCCATATCAATGGCATGCCCGTTCGGGGGCGAGGTATTAATGTTGCCCAGTCCATCGGACCCATGCACAAAGTCTGCAATCCGTTGCTTTTCTTCCCCCTGAAATCCACCCCTCCCCAAAGAAACATAGTAGCAAAAGCACAATTTGATCAGCGCACTTCCAATGTCAAAGGAAGACTATTCATTCAATTTGCACGACGAAGATGCTATTTGAGTTTTACTGTCACAGTGATTAACACCAATTATGCAACAGCAACCACAACCCCATGCACAGCCCTCTCATCACTACTCAGCGTGCCAACTCCTTCCATCCCTCCCCACCTTGACCCCTTCCCTCCTCTACTCTCCCCCTCCCCCTCACGCACCAACCTACAAGACTCCATTTTTTTTTAATTTGTTTTCTTTGTTTGAATTTGGCCCAATGGACGACGGATCAGATATTGATCAGAACACATACTACACTTGATCTTAGCCAAAAGGCCGAGAAAGGTATTGAGCCCCCCAAAAAAACCTCTCAAATCATCCAGTGTTGCAATGACCCGCACAAATCACTGCCTGAGACTTCCTGCAATATCTGAGAAAATGATGTCCTTGACAGTCCTGATCGTTTTCTTTTCTTTCTGAAAATTCTTAATCTGAGTCCGTACCGCTGTGAATTGATGTACTGGAGTTTCATCTATCCAATGTCGCACTTCATGAGCTTGAGAAATTTGTCCTGCGACTGAACAGTATTGCTGACAGAGGGTCGTCGATAGAGATGGCAACCGCCGAAGATTGTGGAAAAAAAGGCTCACTGCGAAGACGATAGGAGAGTGGTTGCCCCTACATCAGGGAATGCCCCGAAGGGGTACCAGTGGGTTACAGACTTCATTCAGTAGTGTAGCCTTGACGGCCGCTGTTGGAGAGGACATTGGAGCATTTACATTGTCCTTTAAACATCCGAGCTGGGCTTGGAAGTTCCGCCATAGCCAGATGTCATTCGTGTTGAGGAGGTGTGGGAGGTCGAAGGAGCACTCTTGACGAGGGTGGAAGTAAGGGTGAGTAATGGGACACTGATTCTGCCTCGTTGATTTGTTTTTGTTGGTCATTAATGACTCGTTATTATTAATAAGGTGATGGAGGAGATGATATGGGAAGAAAATAAAAGTCAGTTGAGGGAGAGATGATATGGATTCCAGCATGTGTTTATCATCTTCTTCTTATTCTTTTTTTCATCCTTGCCTAGGGGCCATGCTAAAGGAAAAAAAACTTATCTGGATCGTTTCAATTATAACTGATGAGCAAGATCTTCTTCTTATTCTATTCTTCATTATTCTTCCAATATTCTTTCATTGGAGTTGCAATTGAATGGCATCGTCTCTTCCTGAGTGCTGCATTGGGATCTTCTTTCATTAAAGCAAACAAGATAGCAAGTGGGGAATTTGCAACACAAAAAGAACGTCACTTCACAAGAAATTTATAATATATCAAGTGGTGAATTTACAATCACAGAAAGAACGCCACTTTACATGAAATGTATAATTGGGTGTAAGAAGTGCCGTGAAGAGCTAAACACAACTGAGCTGGAATGAGTTGCAGCTGCAAGGCCACAAGGTCAAGCCCCAGCGTCTGCAATCAAACAAGCTCACACTGAAGTTGAGTTGGAATAGGACCAGCAACCTGGCAAACCTACCTTAAGTGCAACGCGCTCCCCTTGGGCTACGGGCACATGCGCCATACCTGCCACCTCACGCTGCAAAGACACAAAGGACAGACGGAATCTCAGCCATCCGGGTTTTCTCTGAAGGAGGGCGCCAAAATCATATCTTCTTCTTCTTCTTCTTCTTCTTCTTCTTCTTCTTCTTTTTTTTTTTCAAAAACAGAACCTCTCGGTTCTGACTCCTGCCATTCTGGGGAGCAACAGTCCAGTTCCTATTCCTCCGGCAAGTCAAATATGAATACAATGAAAACACACACACGCTCCTCCCCATTCTGGCTGAGAGACCCAACTGGATGGCATTGATTACTTCCCTAGGGAAGGATGTACCACCCCTCACCCCTGCCTAAGTTAGCCTATATCCTCTACCTTCTGATCCTCTGAGTCACCTAGCTCCTAGCTCCTCTCAGCTGAGTGCTGTCGGATAAACCTGAATGCTAGAGTTGATGTCCAGGGCTGGCATCTAAGGGTTTGCTTGCTCTGCCGGGTAATGTAACACTTATCTGAACTGCGGATTCTACCTTTTGCCTTCTCTTAAACCACCAGTACTTGGGCCATACATGGGCCGCGGGGCTTCCCCGTTAACGCGGCACTGTGTTCAGGGGTTGCCCAAATAAACGCCCGGTCGGTCCTACACTCCCGGGCAACGTCGATTTCAGGACACTTGCAAGACTAGGGAAAAACGAACCAAAAAAAAAAAAAAGAAACCATAAACAAAGAAGAAAAGTAACCGTTCCTTTTTTTGTGACAAGAGAGAGAGAGAGAGAGAGAGAGAGAGAGAGAGAGAGAGAGAGAGAGAGAGAGAGAGAGAGAGAGAGAGAGAGAGAGAGAGAGAG